TCTTCCGTCTCGGAAGCCTCCTCCATGTCAGGGGTCTCTTCCGCTTCGGGGGCTTCCTCAACGTCGGGGGCTTCCTCCGTCTCGGGGCTTCCTCTATGCAATGGGTGCTTCCTCCAAGTCTCCAGCTTTCTCCGTCTCGGGGCTTCCTCCAACAGGAGCTTCTTGCATGTCAGGGGCTTCCTCGATCACGGGCTTCCTCGATCACGGGCTTCCTCCGTCTCGGTTGCTTCTTCTGCGGCGGGAGCTTCCTCCACGTCAGGGGCTTCCTCGGTCTCGGGGGCTTCCTCGATCTCGGGGCTTCCTCCATATCGGGGCTTCCTCCATATCCGGGGCCTTCTCCGTCTCGGGGCCTTCATCCGTCTCGTGTCCTTCGTCCCTCCTCGTCAGGGGCTTCCTCGAGTCGAGGCCTTCCTCTGTCTCTGGGGCTTGCTCCCTGTCGGTGGCTTTCTCGGTCTCGGCGGCTTCCTCAGTATCAGGGCCTTCCTCGGTGTCGAGGGCTTCCTCCGTCTCGGGCGTTTCCTCAGTCTCGGCAGCTTCCTCTATCTCGAGGGCTTCCTTGTTCTCGGGGGCTTCCTGCATGTCAGGGGCTTCCTGCATGTCTGTGTCTTCCACCTTCATGGACTTCCTCCACGTCGAGGGCTTCCTCCCTGTCCGGGCCTTCCTCCGTCTCTGGGCCTTCCTCCCTCCGCGTCCGGGGCTTCCTCGGGTCGAGGCCTTCCTCCATCTCTGGGGCTTGCTCCCTGTCGCTGGCTTCCTCAGTCTCGGGGCCTTCCTCCGTCTTGGGGCCTTCCTCCCTCCGGGTTGGGGGCTTCATCTGCGTCGGGGCTTCCGCCCTTTCAGGGTCTTCCTCCCTCTCCGGGCCTTCCTCAGTCTCCGGGGCTTCCTAAGTCTCGGCGGCTTCCTCGGTCTCTGGCGCTTCCTACATGTCAGGGGCTTCCTCCTTTTTGGGGCTTCGTCCGTGACAGGGGCTTACTCCGTCTCGGGGCCTTCCTCCGTCTCGGTTGCTTCCACCATGTCGCGGGCTTCCTCGGTCTCGGGGCTTCCTCTGTCTCGGGGTTTCCTCCGTATCGGGGCTTCCTCCATGTCCGTGGCTTTCTACGTCTCGGGGCATTCTTCCACTTCGGGGCCTTCCTCCGTCTCTTCCTCAGGTCAAGGCCTTCTTCCGTCTCTGGGGCTTGCTCCCTGTCGGTGGCTTCCGCGGTCTCGTGGTCTTCATCTGTCTCAGGGCCTTCCACCCTCTGCATCAGGGGCTTCTTCCACGTCAGGGGCTTCCGCCCTTTCAGGGTCTTCCTCCGTATCCGGGCCTTCCTCCGTCTCGTGTCCTTCCTCCCTCCGCGTCGGGGGCTTCATCTGCGTCGGGGCTTCCGCCCTTTCAGGGTCTTCCTCCGTATCCGGGCCTTCCTCCGTCTCGTGTCCTTCCTCCCTCCGCGTCGGGGGCTTCATCTGCGTCGGGGCTTCCGCCCTTTCAGGGTCTTCCTCCGTTTCGGGGCTTCGTCCGTGACAGGGGCTTACTCCGTCTCGGAGCCTTCCTCCGTCTCGGTTGCTTCTTCCGCGTCTGGGGCTTCCTCCATGCTGGGGGCTTCCTCAGTCTCGTGGGTTTCCTATGTCTAGGGGGCTTCCTCCGTATCGGGGCTTCCTCCATTTCCGTGGCTTTCTACGTCTCGGGGCATTCTTCCATTTCAGGGCCTTCCTCCCTCCACGTCCGGGGCTTCCTCGGGTCAAGGCCTTCTTCCATCTCTGGGGCTTGCTCCCTGTCGGTGGCTTTCTCGGTCTCGGCAGCTTCCTCGGTATCAGGTCCTTCCTCCGTCTCGGGGGCTTCCTCGGCCACAGGGACTTCCTCGGTCTTGGGGACTTCCTCGGTCTTGGGGCTTCCTCCCTTTATGGGCCTTCCTCCATCTCGGGGCCTTCCTCCCTCCGCGTCTGGGGTTTCCTCGGGTCGAGGCCTTCCTCAGTCTCTGGGGCTTGCTCCCTGTCGGTGGCTTCCTCATTCTCGGGGCCTTCATCCATCTCGGGGCCTTCCTCCCTCCACGTCGGGGGCTTCCTAGGGTCGAGGCCTTCCTCCGTCTCTGGTGCTTGCTCCCTGTTGGTGGCTTTTTCGGTCTCGGGGCCTTCATCCATCTTGGGGCCTTCCTCCTTCTCGGGGGCTTCTTCGGCGTCGGGGGGCTTCCTCCACGTTGGGGGCTTCCTCGGTCTCGTGGGCTTCCTATGTCTTGGGGGCTTCCTCGGTCTCAGGGCTTCCTCTGTCTGGGGGCTTCCTCCATCTCGGGGCTTCCTCCATGTCCGTGGCTTTCTCCCTCTCAGGGCCTTCATCCGTCTCGGGGCCTTCTTCCCTCAGCGTTGGGGGCTTCATCCGCGACGGGGACTTCCACCCTATAAGGGTCTTCCTCCCTCTACGGGCCTTCCTCGGTCCCGGGGGCTTCCTTGGTCTCGTCGGCTTCCACGGTCTCGGGTGCTTCTACATGTCAGAGGCTTCCTCCGTCTCGTGGACATCCTGCATCTCGGGACTGCCTCGGTCTCGGGGCTTCCTCCAACAGGAGCTTCCTGCATGTCAGGGGCTTCCTCCGTCTCGGGGCTTCCTCCAACAGGAACTTCCTGCATGTCAGGGGCTTCCTCGATCACGGGCTTCCTCCATCTAGGGGGCTTCCTCCGTCTTGGTTGCTTCTTCCACGTCGGGGTCTTCCACCCTGTAAGGGTCTTCCTCCCTCTACGGGCCTTCCTCCGTCTACGGGCCTTCCTCGGTCTTGGGGGCTTCCTGGGTCTCGGGGGCTTTCTCCGTCTCGGGGCCTTCTTCTGTCTTGGGGCCTTCCTCCCTCTGCGTCGGGAGCTTCCTCCATCTCTGGGGCTTGCTCCCTGTCTGTGGCTTCCTCGTTCTCGGCGGCTTCCTCGGTATCGGGGGATTCCTCTGTCTTGGGCGCTTCCTCCGTCTCGGGGGCTTCCTCGGCCACGGGGCCTTCCTCCCTCTGCGTCTGGGGCTTCCTCCGCGTCGGGGGCTTCGGCTCTGTCAGGGTCTTTCTCCCTCCTGGGCCTTCCTAGGTCTCCGGGGCTTCCTTCATCTCGGGGGCTTCCTCTGTCATGGGGCTTCCTCCATGTGAGGGGTTACCTCCATGTCGGGGGCTTCCTCCGTCTCGGGGCTTCCTCCAACAGGAACTTCCTGCATGTCAGGGGCTTCCTCCGTCTCGGGGCTTCCTCCAACAGGAACTTCCTGCATGTCAGGGGCTTCCTCCGTCTCGGGGCTTCCTCCAACAGGAACTTCCTGCATGTCAGGGAGGCCTTCCTCCGTCTCCGGGCCTTCCTGGGTCTTGGGGGCTTTCTCCGTCTCGGGGCCTTCTTCTGTCTTGGGGCCTTCCTCCCTCTGCGTCGGGGGCTTCCTCCATCTCTGGGGCTTGCTCCCTGTCTGTGGCTTCCTCGTTCTCGGCGGCTTCCTCGGTATCGGGTGCTTCCTCCATCTCGGGGGCTTCCTCGTTCTCGGCGGCTTCCTCGGTATCAGGGGATTCCTCTGTCTTGGGCGCTTCCTCCGTCTTGGGGGCTTCCTCGGCCACGGGGCCTTACTCCCTCTGCCTCGGGGGCTTCCTCTGTCATGGGGCTTCCTCCATGTGAGGGGTTACCTCCATGTCGGGGGCTTCCTCCGTCTCGGGGGCTTCCTCTGTCATGGGGCTTCCTCCATGTGAGGGGTTACCTCCATGTCGGGGGCTTCCTCCGTCTCGGGGCTTCCTCCAACAGGAGCTTCCTGCATGTCAGGGGCTTCCTCGATCACGGGCTTCCTCATTCTCGGGGGCTTCCCCGTCTCGGTTGCTTCTTCTGCGTCGGGGGCTTCCGCCCTGTCAGGGTCTTCCTCCTTCTCCGGGCCTTCCTCAGTCTCGGGGACTTCCTCAGCCTCAGGGGCTTTCTCCATCTCGGGGCCTTCTTCCGTCTTGGGGCCTTCCTCCCTCTGCGTCGGGGGCTTCCTCGTGTCGAGGCCTTCCTCCGTCTCTGGTGCTTGTCCCTGTCGGTGACTTACTCGGTCTCAGGGCCTTCCTCGGTCCCAGGGCCTTCCTCCCTCCACGTCGGGGGCTTCTTCCATCTCGGGGGCTTCCTACCTGTCGTGGGCTTCCTCAATGTCGGGGGCTTCCTCCGTCTCAGGGCTTTCTCCGTCTCGGGGATTCCTCTATGCAACGGGTGCTTCCTCCAAGTCTCCAGCTTTCTCCGTCTCAGGGTTTCCTCCGTCTCGGGGCTTCCTCCAACAGGAGCTTCCTACCTGTCAGGGGCTTCCTCGATCACGGGTTTCCTCCCTCTTGGGGCTTTCCTCCCTCTCAGTTGATTCTACCGCGTGGGGGGCTTCCTCCACATCGGGGGTTCCTGCATGTCACTGTCTTCCACCTTCATGGACTTCCTCCCTGTCGGGCCTTCCTCAGTCTCCGGGGCTTCCTAAGTCTCGGCGGCTTCCTCGGTCTCTGGCGCTTCCTACATGTTTTCGGGGCTTCGTCCGTGACAGGGGCTTACTCCGTCTCCGGGCTTCCTCGTTCTCAGCGGCTTCCTCGGTCTCGGGGGCTTCCTCGTTCTCAGCGGCTTCCGCGGTCTCGGGCGCTTCCTACATATCAGGGGCTTCCTGCATCTCGAGGNGGCTTCCTCGGTCTCAGGGCTTCCTCTGTCTGGGGGCTTCCTCCATCTCGGGGCTTCCTCCGTCTCAGGGCCTTCATCCGTCTCGGGGCCTTCCTCCCTCCGCGTTGGGGGCTTCATCCGCGACGGGGACTTCCACCCTATAAGGGTCTTCCTCCCTCTACGGGCCTTCCTCCGTCCCGGGGGCTTCGTTGGTCTCGTCGGCTTCCACGGTCTCGGGTGCTTCCTACATGTCAGAGGCTTCCTCCGTCTCGGTGGCTTCCTCCGTCTCGTGGACATCCTGCATCTCGGGACTGCCTCGGTCACGGGGCTTCCTCCAACAGGAGCTTCCTGCATCTCAGGGGCTTCCTCGATCACGGGCTTCCTCCATCTAGGGGGCTTCCTCCATCTCGGTTGCT